TAGGACTGGGTCTTGTATATTGGTCTAGCTGAGGTGCTGATGATATTCTTTGAAGGTGGTGTGTGTGTGTGTGTGTGTGCGCGCACGTGTGTGTGTGTTTCCCTGGTAACCTATACCTGCTGCTCTTTAATGTGAGCCGGGTTGAGACAGGACGGTAGAGCTAATGCTCTGTGCAAGCCAGCTGGGATGCGCCTCGAGATAGAGGCTATGACTTCCTGGGACTTGAAAGACTACATCAAAACTGAAGCACCACACTTGCCAAAACATTAGATACTATATAATGCAGATTACTCTCTCTGCATATTGCAGAGGTAAATGTAGGCTACCCACCTAGCTCAGCTCACAATGATCACCTACTTCCCACAATTCTCAATCAATCCTCCTCAAGCCACTCCCCCACTAAATAAAAACCGGGTGAGGCCCTGGGTCTCTCTCTTGGTTCTGGAAAGCCATCTTTGTGGCTGGACCTAGAGCCCCTTGACTCCCTGATGACTGAAAATATAATTTAGTGTCTTTATTTTTGCTGTTGGTTGCACTGTAAGTGGTAGATTGGAATCAACTTGATGGGATTCCAATAACATAACTTTGGGATTGTAAACATTGGCTTCTTGGACCAAGACGAGGACCTAGAAGTGACTCCTACATCCCTTGTCAGAAGTTATTAAAGCCTAAATTTTATTTATGTTCTCATGTAAGCTTGTATATTTCTATGTTACTATATAAATATATACATAATTTATATCTTCTGTATCTTGCATACTTTTTTCACTACTATTTTTGAAATTTGTATTGATATATTAGATATAGTTTATCTGTCTTAATTGCCTATTTTCTTCAAACAAATATATATATTTTACACCTACAGAATCAAAAGATAGGGTAATATGAGGCTTGGAACTGAAGCTGTGCAGCAGCTGCCTGTTAAGCCAGGGCATGTGTTCTTCAACTGAACAGCAACGGGACCAGCAACTAGATCAGCTTCTAATAAAAGCAAAAGTCTGGGTCTGGATCTCTGGGCTAGCCTTTGTTTAGAGGACTCCATCTGGGTCTCTGACTATGACCCTCTCTACAGGGCCAGGATCCTGCATGGCCTTAAGGGTGTTCCCTAGAATCCTTTATGGCCTTGCTTTGGCTATCTGGGCTGAAGGAATTCCCTCCCTAAAGGGCCTGACTTCCTTCTCTACTCGAATTTGTGATCTACCTGAATTCTAATCTTTGTACATTTTCCATGTCTTAAATGGCAGTCAATGTTTCTTTAAATATTTCTTTTATTATAACCATTTTTATAACCCAAGTGTCAACTTTTTCATGTATTCATTTCCTTGATTGTAATTTTGTGTACTTTTATATATTTGTCAGAATATTAAAAAGTTATTTGGGGGGTCTGCCCCTTAGCTCAGTTCTTTAAATGCCTGCTTAAACAAAGAAGTCAGGCTCAGGTTGCTGTGGTTCGATCCCTAGAACTCAAGCCAGCCAAACCTGCCCTGAAGGCACTCTGAACCAGCCCCCCACCCAAAAAAAAATCCCCCTAAAAAGTTATTTGTAGGAATTCCTGTATTTATGAAACAGAAACCAAGTACCACCCTGGTGTCTGCCAGATGATGTGACTCACCATACCAGTCTGGGCTTCCCTAGGTAAAGTCGGGTCATGAGGATCCTGGCCAAGTCAGGGAAATCCAACCCAGACTGCAATTCTGTGCAGGAGCTAGTCCCATTCACCTCATCTTCATCTGCCTGTGTACCCCTTTAGGGACCAGTGTCTGGAAGAAGGTCTCCTTAGGACTCCCCAGCTTGCTCGGTCTCTAGTGCTCATTTCTATTTCTCCCACAAAAGGCTGTCCAAGGACAGTGCCAATGTTCTAGGATTGGCAAAATCTTCCATGTTGAGCTCCTGGGCTCATGTCAACCTCCTCTCTTAGCTTCTCAAGTACCTGGGACTACAGACATGTATCTGGCCATGCCCTCCTATTTATCTTTCTGTCATGGCAGTTTTCTATTAGCCTGATTTTTTTTATGCTTTTAAGATGAATACATATACATGTATACTGTTAAAGGCTAGATAAAAACATTTTTATATATT